ATTTGACCTAGTAGTTGTTGAGATATCTTTATTCAAAGTTTAAAAAAATTAAAATGTCTATTAAAACAAACTATACAAAATTTTTTTTAAACTTTGAGCAAAAATATCTCAACAACTACTAAATTAAATTTGATGAACTTTTTTTGTTTGAATGCTATGAATTTATAGAATTCAAATAAAAAAATATTAAAATTGACCTGGTGGTTGTCAAGATATCTTTACTCAAAATTCTAAAAAAAATTCAAAACATTTATCAAAACAGAAACTGTACCAAAATTTTTTCTAAACTTTGAATAAAAATATCTCAACAATTACCAAGCCAAATTCAATGAACTTTTTTTTATTTAAATACTATCAATTCATAGAATTTAAACAAAAAAAAATTTATTAAATTTGACTTAGTGGTTGTCAAGATATTTTTACTCAAAGTTTAGAAAAAATTTTGATGTAGCTTCTGTTTTGATAAATGGTTTGAATTTTTTTTAGAACTTTGAACGAAGATATTTTGACAATCACCAAGTCAATTTTAATAAATTTTTTTTTATTTGAATTTTATAGATTTATAGCATTCAAACAAAAAAAAAATTCATCAAATTTAACTTAGTAGTTGCTAAGATAGCTTCACTTAAAGTTTAAAGAAACTTTTGTATAATTTGTTTTGATAAATGTTTTGATTTTTTTCAAACTTTAAGTGAAGATATCTCAGCAACTACTGGACCAAATTGATGAATTTTTTTTTGTTTAAATCCTATTAATCTATAGAATATAAAAAAAAAAACTTATTAAATTTGGCTTGGTAGTTATATAGATATCTTCACTCAAAGTTTAAAAAAAAGTTAAATCTGCAGGGGGATACAAATAATAAATTTGAAGGGTATAAAAAATAATTCCCTAAAAAAATTATAAACAATAAATTTTTATTTTTTACAAATAATTTTTGAGATATTGTGCTTGATTTTATATTGCAGATCTGTTGTCATTATACAAAATACAACACAAGTTTAGAAATAAACAAAACAAACTTATTATAAACTATGCAACAAGTATAAATAAAAAAAAAATTTACATAAAAAAGTGAATATATAGAATTATATGCCAATAGAAAAAATATAGTAAAATGCCAACCCTGTAAATTATCAATTGTAATCTTACGCATAGTTTGACGTATATTTGATTACTGGAAAGTTGAGATCTTGAACCGTCCGACTTAGACCATCAAAATTATGAATGCCAAAATTTCTGGAAGGCCTGTCCCCATGATGATAAGTCCGGTATAATTTATCCAGAACTTTTTACTACTTGAGATAGATAGCCTTTGGTTTCCTGAACACTAGAATATGTCGATTTCTTATATTTGTGTCGATAATAAAAAACTAAAATAATAGCTAAAAATAAAAGAGCACATAAGGGAATAATAGTTGCTATGAATTTAACATTATTATTTTCACAGACAGCACTTGAATTTCCATCTCCCTTATTAGATGGGTTTGAAGATGAGTTTGAAAGTAGGTTATTAGATAACCCTATTCCTCCCAGTTGTAATATGCAACTATTAACACTAGTTGAGCTAATACCCATATACATAGAAGATATTGGTTGTTTGTTGACAGCCACTA